GAACATTCAGAAAACAGTTCTACAGGGAGACACACTGTGGACATTCTCAGTAATACCAGCTGCTGTTACTTCAACAGGTACTTAGAGAATTAAGAACACTGCAGAATTCTTTTGTCTGCATTGAGTGAAACAGAGGGTCCCTTTAATCAGCTTGTGTGATCAGTCTTTACTGTGTACCTACTGTGTGCAGTCAGTTGCTAATCCCCATAGGGCATGATGTGGGCTAAGCTCTCTGTACCTACCTGAAACATGAAACAGGCAGTCACTACTGTCCGGTGTCCCCCAAGTGTGTTGCTAGGTCTTTGCTGATCATACCATCCTTCTTGGTACCCCATATGTCACTTTCCATATTAGGGACCACAAAGGGGCTCTGGTTGTTTATTTGGAGCAGCTCAGATGATGTTTTGCACACCTTAAGGGGTGCTGCTGCATGATCAGCAGTGGGAAGACAGGTTGTCAGTGGGTAGGAGATCGTACATCTTACTATCCATAAGATCTAGAGAAGGTGTTGCCAGTTCTGCTGGGCTGGGAGGTACATACAGGTGGCAACAGACACATTCCATATTAACCTGTGCACTTGGCACCTTTTATCTGCTGAAGTCAATTGAGGACAGGGACCTGGCACAGCTGAGCTAAGTGCTCCAGGGGCAGGGAATGCCCAGCAGGAAAAGCCAGAGCTTGTGCCCAGGGTGACAGAGCTCTGTGCCTACAGCACGTGGGGGCTGACTGCTCTCCGTTCATGTGGTCTTCCCAAGTTCAGTTCTCCATCTTAGACACGAACAGATCTGCAGGGCCTTCTTACTCTTTTGGCCCACGTGACTTGCAGCCAGTTCTTGAGACGGTCATCTGGACCTCACCACTCCCTGCCCAGTCTGCTGTCACAGCACACGCCTCATGGTTTGCTTTTCTCCTTGGCCTTCTGCATTTATGGCTAAGAGCCTTTCAAACCAGGCTCTCACAAATTAGCAGGTTTTGGTTTCAAGTGGATGATGTGGGCAAATCCTGCTTTGGAAGTCAAGTGTTGCTTGTGTGTCCCCAGCCTACTCCCCACGTCCCTGGTGGCTGTGTGGACATCACTGTACAGAAGGAAGTGTAGTCACAGAAAATCACATAGGCAAAATCATTCAAAGTACGATCTCTGCTGACACTCTGATATTCTTGACGGAGCATGTCAAGCAGATTGTGTGAAAGTACTGCCTGTATGTGGGTTTGTGTGACTGAGCTGTACACTGTTATTATCTCTGTTTCATATCTGGGGATATCAGGTTTCAGTTCTAGAAACAGGATGTCAGTGTGCTATAATTAAAACCAAACTTTGTACTTGATTCTTGGGTCAGTTTGCCTTCTATGTCAACTTTCTCCTATATCCAGCAAAGAAACTTGTTTTCAAAACTCTTCAAATTCTAAAATTTCTTTTTCCTTTTAAAGATTGATTCGTATATGCATATAGAACTGGGATACAGGCCAGAGGTGCAGGAGCGGCAAGAGAATTCACCAGAGACAGAGTGGGGAGCAGAACAGGAGGATCAACTGCTGAGGGGAGCAGCTAGGAGACAGGAGAGGTCTGCCGCGCCATGTGGGGCAGCTCCCGGGCCGTGGATCAAACTTGCTGTGTGAACACAGCGGCTGCTGCTAGCTTTGCAGTGCTGTGCCTTGACCGTTGCACCACCAGGAAGGGCCCCAAATTCTAACATTTCTAGTGATGTCTACAGTCTTTATCTTATCCCCTCAGGGCTAGTTGTATGTTGAAACTAAGCCATTTTCAAAGTCCTGAGAGGCAATATGTAGAAATACTGGGTACTGTTGAGTAACTACAAGGGTGTCTGCGCAGCACTTTCTAACCTGCCAGCGGTATGTAGTATCCACACTGTGTAGTACAAAGAATACAGATGGTGAGTGACCTGAGAGAAGGGGGACGGGCCCAGTGGTCTGTGGTGAGGACAGTAGGTGACGCATGAAAGAACAGGGGGTAGACACCATAGAAGCAGCTGCTTCTCTTGGAGTGTGTGATGGTGGAGAACAGATGTGGCAGAAAGTCTCCGGGAGTTCTGGCACACTCATTAGTTCACAGATGAAAAATTCCAAGAGCCTGAGTGTGCAGCAAGACAGTCCTGTGCCAACAGTTTCCATTTCACACAGGCAATTGTCTGCGCTTGGCTTAGAACCCACCTGTGGATCCTTAGCTTCCCTTCACTTCTTGGAAAATGCCGTCGTTAGCAAACAGACTTTTCAGTGCTGTTGCTAATAAAGTGGGAACGTGAATCATTCAGGGGCCGCAAGACCGTGAACCAGCGCCGGTGTTCAGGCAGGCGCTTTCTGAATTCATCTTTCAAATGACTGAATCATTCCGTTGTTCTTCACTTCTAAGGAAATAACGGGAGAAAGTAGATGTTATTTTTCTCTTTTATCCAGATTTTTCCCAGCACCATTTATTGGAGAGATTGTCTTTATTCTTTGCTCCTTTGTCATAGATTAGGTTATCAAAAATGTGTCTTTTTCCAGTTTTATTGAAGTAACAAGTCAGTGTTCTGATTGGACAAACTTAGGGAATAAACATCTTTTAAAGGTCTAGGTTCAGCATGGAGATGTCATTTCATTTCCTCACAAACCATTTTCAGGGACTTTTAAAGAGAGAAACCTTAGGTTTAGAATCAAACTGTGAGGACGATACATAACTTTGATCAGCCCCTTGCTCATTTATACATTATTCCCCCATTATCAATTTCACCCCCACGTGATACATTTTTGCCAAGCGTGAACCTATTGGGTTGTCAGAAAAGTCATCACACATTTTTGCATAGAAAATAGAAAAAAGGCATCATGACTTTTTTCTGACAACCCAATACACCAGTAGACCATAATACCCAAAGCACATTGTTTAGGTTAGGGTTAGCTCTTGGTGCTGTATAGTCTGTGTATTTGGACGAAGGTATCCCAGTAATCATATGCCATTAGTATGTAATATAGACATCCTCTGTGCTCCACTACTTCACCTCTCCCTCTCACCTCAACCATCGATGTCTTTATCATCTTTTTTTTTATCTTTGTCAGACATCCACATAATTGAATCATACAGTATGTAGCATTTCACATTAAATTCTTTCACTTTGTCACATGTGTTTAAGATTCCTTCTTTTTATAACTTGGTAGCTCCTCTCTTTTTTAGTGTTGAGTAATAGTCCATTGCCTGGATATACCACAGTGTCTTTTTATCCAGCCACCTGCTGAAGGACATCTTGGTTGCTTTCAGGTTTTATCAGTATGTGTAAGGCTGCTGTAAGCATCTGGGTGCAGGTTTTTGTGTGGACTTGAGTTTTCAATTCCTTTAGCTAGGTCAATACTGAGAAGCATGCTTGCTATATTATGCAGTAAAAGTATGTGTAACTTTGTAAGAAACCACCCACTGGTCTTTATGTCTCCAGCAGTAGAGTATGAGAGTTCCTGTTGTCTTGTCACATCTGGTCAGCACTTGGAGTGGTCAGTGGTCCAGATTTTAGCCACTGTCATGGATATGGTAATATCTCACTGATGTTTTAATTTGTATGTTCTTGGTGACATGTGGTGTTGAGCTTCTTTTCACAGGCTTATCTGCCTTTTGTTTGACTTTTTGGTGAAGTATCTGGTAAGTTCCTTTGCCCATTGTTTAATCACTTTTTTTTTGGTAACTTTGGATAATATTCTTGGAATGTGCCTTTTGAAACTATCTCCCAGTCTGTGACTTGTCTTTCCATTCTTGAGATTATCTCTCATAGAGCTGAAGTTTTTAATCAAGTCCAGATGATCAGTTCCTGCTTTTGTGAATTCTGTCATCGGTGCTAGAGCTAAGAAATCATCCAGTACAACAAGGCTTTCTCCTATCTTGCCTTTTAAGAATTTCATATTTGTTATTTAGGTCTTGATTTCTTTTGAGCTAATTTTTGAGATGTGTGTAAGGTTTGCATTTCTTTTGAGCTAATTTTTGAGATGTGTGTAAGGTTAGCACCATTTCTAAAAAGTCTTTCTTTGTTCCATTGTATTGTCTTTGCTCCTTTGTGAAAGACCAGTTGACTCTCATTGCCTGAGTCTATCTCTGAACTCTCTATTGTGTTAAATTGATCTATTCTGTATATTTTTAAAGATTTATTTACTTATGCATACGGAACTGGGGTGCAGGCCAGAGGTGCAGGGGCAGTGAGAGGATTCACCAGAGACAATGTGGGGAGCAGAACAGCCAACTGACCAAGTACACTGCTGAGGGGAGCAGCGGGCGGGTCAGGAGAGGTCTGCCGTGCCATGTGGTCACCTCCGGGGCTGGTGGGGATCGAACTCATGCTGAAGTGGCTTTAGCTTCTTAGTGTTGTGCTTTAATCCACTGTGCCATGAGGGAGGGCCCATCTATTCTATATGCTTTTGCTATATTCTTTTGCACAACTGTTTTGAATTACAAGTAAGTCTTAAAATCAGGTGGAACCATTTATCCAACTTTGTTCTTCTCTCTCAATCTTGTGCTGGCTCTTCTGAGTCATACATGCTTGGATTTATGGGAAAAATGTTTATACCTGATTTGATCTATGAGGTAGGTCATAGGGGCATAAAGTAATATCCTAAAAACCTAGAGAATTGGTAGGGGTTATTGATATATAGGGGAAGTTGTAATGGTTATATTTTATACTCTGAGAATAGAATAGTTAGAAAAATTAAAGGATAATTTGGGGAACAATGGGTAGAACAGACCAGTGGGTAGAACAGTGCAAAACATGAACCCAAGAACCCAAGAAAAATCACGATTCATTTATTCAAAGACAAATTATGCTGAGAGATAGATGATGACAGGCAAAATTAACAAGACAATGTATGTTCTAAATGCAAAAAAGTCATGACATTTTAAAAATATATTGGGCACTATGCTAACCATTGTGTGTTTCATTGATTCTAGTTATTAAAACCTGTGAGTCAGGTATTATTTGTTTTATCAAATGAAGAGTAATTTTCAATGATTTTTTTTGTGTTTTGTTTAATAGCTCACTATTTATGTCCAAGAGCAACAAAAGCACACAGCCGAATATGCTGCAAACATAACCAAAATTGTGTTTGATTATTTCGAAGAATACTTTGATATGGATTATGCTCTTCCCAAATTAGGTGAGAACATTTTTTATTTTCTGATTTTTTTTTAAAGATTTATTTTATTTGTACAGACAGAACTGGGGTACAGGCCAGAGGCTCAGGGGTGGCGAGAGGCTTCACCAGAGACAGAGTGGGGAGCAGAACAGGCAGATGGATGAAGTACACTGCTGAGGGGAGCAGCGGGTGGGTCAGGAGAGGTCTGCCACGCCATGTGGTCACCTCTGGAGCATGCGGGAATCGAACTCATGCAGAAGTGGCTTTAGCTTCTCAGTGCTGCACTTTAACCCGCTGCGCCACCAGGGAGGGCCTATTTTTTGATTTTCACCTAAGTTAACTCACTTCCTCTGGTTTTATCATCCTTACTTAATAGTCGTCCATAAGTCTTTTTTATAGGCCCATAGTATGCATCTACAGTATTTGTTGGATTCTTCTAAGATTAAGGTCTACACTATTTTAATTTGATCAACCTACAGTCCTTTATTTTCAAATATAGATTAAAGTATGTGGACAACTACAGATATTGACAGAAATAGCAACCTAGGTCTGTTGATTTCAAAATCAGCTCTCACTCCAGTGGCTCCATTTCCTTCCTGCCATTTATGGGTTGGGAAGTTACAGGGCTAGAAGGCACTGTCAGAGGTACCTTGTGCTTCCGGCCTCTCCACAGTCACACAAGACTTGTGCTAGATCTTCCAGCATTTAACATGAAAGACTGATGCACCTTCCAAAGGCAAATATATAGTTTTCAAACGAAGAACATGCTTTCTTCTTAAAGTAGCCACTCAGTCAAATTCTGTGGCTCTGACTCTTGTATTCAGAGCAGAAATGCTTTCCTAGTAAGCTTGAGTGGTTGTTAGTTAAGACTTTGAACGTCACCCCTACACAGTTATCTACCAGCAACAAGAAAGCCCGCCACCCAACAATTGACTTCTCTGTTTCTGCTCTTTGATAATTTGCCTATGCCAAACCACTGGGGTGCCAAACTCTAGATGGGAGTGGCCAGGGCTTTGAACAGCCCTGTTTTCTTTTGAATGGCGGCAGCTCCATATTTTTTCTCTGATTGTTTAATAACTATCAGAAGAGACAGGAAGGGGAAACTTTTCATCATAATATTTAACAAAATGTTGATCAAAAATTTTTTTTCTCTTTCCACTTGTACTATCCACAGTAACTTGACAAGTGGCAATCTCACCAGCTTACCCCTCCCTCCTTCCCTACCTCTCTTCCTTCCTCTCCTCTGTTCCTCTTCTTTGCATTTTTATATGCATTTTGATCATCTCCAAGTTGATTCTACCTCAGACTTTCCTTAGAAATGACATTTGCTTTTATTATACTCTCCCAAATTAAGTGCAGTGGTGTCAATAAATTATAATATGCATATTCACCAGATAAATGAGGTTACAAAAAGTTCCTTTTGTTCAAGGATTAGGTGCAAACTCCACCCCATAACATTATGGGGGACTTCTGCACCCTTTATGTGGTATTCTTTTGACAAAATAACCAAACCTAAGAATAAAGATAATACGAAAAAAGAGCTCCTGCTGCAACCTTGATCTCTATTTAGAAAATAACCATTTTCAAAAAAAAAAGAAATATCTACCTTCATTCTTTTATAAAAAGCTTTGAGAATCTTTGTAACCAAAAAGAAAGGATCTCATATATTAAATAGAGGTTTAGTTTCTTTTCATTTACATGCTTCATTGAAACTATATGTAATAAAGAAATTATATGTATAAAAAGTATCATATGTATAATAATCACATTCTTTTAAAAAAAAGATTTATTTTTATTTATGCATACAAAAACTGGCGTGTAGGCCAGAGGGGTGGAGGGAGGCTGAGAGGATTCACCAGAGACAGAGAAGGGAGCGGGACAGGTGGATTGCCTGAAACCCACTGCTGAGGAGAGCAGAGGATAAGACAGGAGAGGTCTGCTGTGCCATGACGCTCAACTCTCTGGCTGGGAATTGAACTCAAGCCACAGCAGCGGCAACTGCTTGATAGTTGTGAGCCTTTAACCCCTGCATCACCAGAGAGACCCTGAAATCACATTCTTATTATCATCCGTGAACTAGAGAAGCTGGGTTCTATCCACTCATCAAGCTGAATATATTCTATTTGGGGATTTAACATAGAAGCTAATCAACACTGATTCTTGCTGCTAAAGAGGTCTAATATGATAGCTCCAGCAAAAATAAGGAGAAGAATATCCTAGAAGAATCCATGATTTTAGATCTGGAAGGAATTTAGAAAAGAATCCGTTGACTCAGTTTATTCAGTGTAAAGGTGAATGGTAGCTACTCAATTTGCAGGGAATGAGATTTACTACAAGTGGTATAGAATTGGGGAAAAGGGAAATTTCATATTTGCTCTTTTGCTTTTGTGGGAGACATGCGTTTCTGCGCTGATTGCGCTGTCCTTCCAAATCCTTTGAAAACTCCATTCTCTTGTTCTTCCCAGTCAGTCCCCTCAAACAGATGTTCTCTCTTACTTAACAGAAAATCTGGGAGGGGAGGAACACTAATAAATGAAGTATCACGAAGAACAAAAGACATAAAATAGCAGAGGACTTGCACAGTACATTGCTTTTAGTAGGCATCTTCCAAAAATAAAAGACACATTGATGTCTGGAGCCAAGAGGAAAAGTTTCATGGAAATGTTGAGTGCATAAAGACTGTCGTTTGTACAAACAGATTATTGTTTTCCACTCTAGGAAATTATTTTTAGCCTTTCAAAAAACATTCACCCAAAGAACTTAATTTGGTGCGAAATGTTATGAACAAATGGAAAGAATGTATTTCTCACTGGACCTTTCTTTTTCCATAGATAAAATCGCTATTCCAGATTTTGGCACTGGGGCAATGGAGAACTGGGGCCTCATCACTTACAGAGAAACTAACCTGCTTTACGACCCTAACCAGTCAGCCTCCTCCAACAAACAGAGGGTGGCCAGCGTGGTGGCCCATGAATTGGTGCACCAGGTACAGAGCCTATAGCAAGTGACTTGGCTTGTTTGAGTCATTGAAATTACTTATAATTTGCCAGTGAAAAAATAGCCCAGTCAGACCATCTTGCTTGAAATGTGGATCCTGTTGGTCTACATTTTACCATAAAGAAATTTGTTCAATAGAAAGAAAAAAAAAAAAACCTGAGTTTTCTATTTCCAATGATCTAATCTGCATGAACTCACTGTAGCCTTTTGCAGACATTCTAGGAGAGATTAATTATGAGCCACTCGCATCAAAATACCTAAGAGGATTTTATGGAGCTAGGTGAATTTTTGAACCTAAATTAACCAAACATTTTAATGTATGAAAATAAAATCTATTTTGGCTAATTGGTCATAATTCCGTTATCCCTTTTTTTCCCCTACATCATTTTTTAAAAAATTTATTTATTTTGGCCCTCCCTGGTGGCGTAGCGGGTTAAAGCACTGCACTAAGAAGCTTAAGCCACTTCCGATGAGTTCGATACCCGCTTGCCCCGGAGGTGACCACATGGCGCGGCAGACCTCTCCTAACCCGCCCGCTGCTCCCCTCGGCAGTGTACTTCCTCTGATCCGCCTGTTCTGCTCCCCACTCTGTCCCTGGTGAAGCCTCTCACACTCCGCATCTCTGGCCTGTACCCCAGTTCTGTATGCACAAATAAAAATATAAAAAAAAAAAAAAAGATTTATTTATTTAGGCATACAGAACTAGGGTACAGGCCAGAGGTGTAGGGGCAGTGAGAGGATTCACAAGAGACACAGCGGGGAGCACATAGGCAGATCGACTAAGTACACTGCTGAGGGGAGCAGCGGGGATACAAGAGAGTTCTACTGTGCCATGTGGGTCAGCTCCAGGGCCAGGGATGGAACTTGCACTGAAGCGGCTGTGGCCAGCTTGCAGTGCTGCATCCTAACCTGTTGCACCACCAGGGAGGGCCCAATGCCCACTAGTTTCTCTAATTATTTTTCTTTGCCAGGTCATTCACTAAGTCGATGCCCATCACTCTGATCTCCTTTACTGCAGAGAATTCCCTTAAGCCCCCCCTATGTTTTGCTGCCAACAAAAGCCTTTCACTTTCCCTCTAGCCGACTAGTATTCCACAGTATGGCTAAACCTCCTTGGCCTCCTCTGCTATGGACGGGCATATAATGAAACTTTCAGGACACATTTTTTACCTTTAGGTAAAGATAAGGTAAACAGGATTTTCTAACTTTACAAACTGGATAAAAGCAAGAAGGACAGCAATACCTAAATAAGGGCAATAATTCAAGATAATTTAAAACAATTTGCAAACCCAGAGAAATAAAGCAGGAAATAAATGCTATGTGTGCCTGCCACTTCTGTATCAAGTGACATTTACAGGGACTCACTGAGGTGTTGAAATCTTCTCGGCCTGCCTGCTACATCTCTTCGTTGTTTGTCTTTTCAGTGGTTTGGAAACACCGTGACCATGGATTGGTGGGAAGACCTGTGGCTAAATGAAGGCTTTGCTTCCTTCTTTGAGTTCCTGGGAGTAGACAAGGCAGAGCCAGATTGGCAGATGGTGAGCTCTAACCACATAAACCCAGATCTCTGTTTTCCTCCTGGAAAGCAGTTTGAACCACAAACCATGACAATGGTCCTAGGGCCAAGGGCAGGGGTGGCTGGAATGTCCGCGGGGCGCCAGGGGGCTCCCAGGAACTACATTTTGTTTTTCTCAGATGCTCTGGTGCTTACCCCTCAGAGTGGGAGATCCTTGACAGAGTGACTCTAGAACATGTCTCAGTTTGGGGGGATGGAGAGGGGTAGGGGGCAGCCAAAAATGCCAGCTTCATGTTTGAGACAGCATTGGCAAGAATGAACCCTTTCATTCTTTGCCTAATTTTACACGTGACCTAACTTCCATGGATTGCTGAAATAGTGTGGTAAAGAGGTAAGTTCATCACCTTGTTAGACTCAAGTTCAAACCCTGGGTGTATCATTTGTGATGTGAGATGGGAATTTGTGAGATGGGAATTGTGACTTTGGGCAAGTGGCAGGTTTCTATTTTGTAAGCAAAAAAATCTCCCCAAATGTACATAAAATTTCAGTGGTCATCTCATGCGTGTCTCAGGGCCTGAAACAAAAGCTTCCGTGAACTCCAACAAATTTTTTCAGCATAGTATGTCTGCTGGAAAAGTTTTTTTAAAAGGCATACCTTTAGATGGTGTAAGATCCTCATGATGAAATGTGTAGAGAATCACAGATGGGTACAGAATAGAATACTGCCCTCTACTGGAATGAACAAAAAAGACAGCGTTAAATGCTTGAAGCCCTTGCAGTTTCCAGACCTACTTTAAAAAGTGAAAAAGTTAATTTCCAATAAGCGTCTTTAAAGACCTAATATACATCTAGGTCTTACAACAATGGAACTATTGTCATTTGGGGCCAGAACAGTTCTTTGTTGTGGGAGGTTGTTCTAGGTGTTGTAGGATATTTAACAGCATCCCTGTCTCCCTAGTTGGGAACCACTCCTTTATGCAGAAAATTGTTGATCCCATCAGTTTTTGGCAAATAGACACACTTCCTCTATTCTCAGAACAAAGCTCTGAGGGACTGTGATTCCCATCATACAGACATGGGACCAGGAAAGATGAAAAGTTTGCATCTTGTCCAAATACCAAAAGCAGAATCCACAGATGCTGGTTTCTTTTAAGCTACATACAGGCAGAGTCAGGGTTGGGGGGGGACGGTCAGTGGAGAGCAATCAGTGCAGAAAAGAATTAATTCGATCATTTAATACTTGTGAGTCATTCACAGTTATTCCCATCCCCCCATCTGATATCATATCGCTGATATTTTCAAATATGAACCAGTCTAAGGCCCGGCCGTGTTTGGTGTCTTCTGTCATTTCAGCGTGACCAGATGTTACTTGAGGACGTGTTACCTGTACAAGAGGATGATTCCTTGATGTCTTCACACCCAATAGTTGTCACTGTGACCACCCCAGCTGAAATAACTTCAGTGTTTGATGGGATCTCCTACAGCAAGGTAGGGGAACATGGCGATCTTCAGACCATCTCTGCTTAATGACTTTCAGTGCATGCTTGAAAATAGCGACAATGATTAGGTCATGCCAGTGGGCTGTGGGCAACTCTAGTACTTATTTAGGTGCTGAATACTGACTGCTCTGCTCTACTCAGTCACTGTCATTCTTATGAGATTTTGAAGCACATGTTTAAGAAAGTCTCTTTCCACTTTTATTTGTAGCCACTGTCTTTCTTTTTTTTTTTTTAAAGATTTATTTATTTATGCATATAGAACTGGGGTACAGGCCAGAGGTGTGGGATGGTGAGAGGCTTCACCCAAGACAGTGGGGAGCAGAATAGGCAGATCAAGGAAACACACTGCTGAGGGGAGCAGCGGGCAGGCCAGGAGAGGTCTGCCATGTCATGTGGTCACTTCCGGGGCAAGCAGGGATCAAACTCATGCTGAAGTGGCTCCAGCTTCTTAGTGCTGTGCTTTAACCCGCTGTACCACTAGGGAGTGTAGCCACTGTCTTTCTGGCAACTGATCATTTACACCTTCAGCATCCAAATTAAAATTATTTGGTTTGATGTTTTATACTGCAGTGACCTTCTGCCACCAGACATGCTGTATATGTAGGGCCTTTCCTTGCAGCTTCCTTTAGTGCTTCTGATGGGCACTGAAATCCAATTCAGTGAAGAGGAATTACTTTCATCCATTTTTTGATAAGGCTTAAAGCTGACTTTTGTCAGTATATTGGATGATGTTATTCATTAAAACTTCATGGGAAGCCTCTTGAGTATTTACCCAAAGGCACAGAAACATTAATTCAAAAGTGCACCAGTACTGCTATGCTTATGGCAGCACTACTCACAATAGGTTAGCTATGGAAATCCAACTGCCCCAAAATAGACGACTGGATCAAGATGTGGTCCATATACACAATGGAATATTACTCAGCAAACAAAAAGATAAACTCATGCCATTCACAGCAACACAGATGGAGCTGGAAGGGATCATGCTCAGTGAAATAAGCCAGAAAGAAAAAGAAAAATACTGGATGGCTTCACTTATAGGACGAGTGTAGGGGGCACAAATAAGGGATAGGGGGAATAGTAGTTATAACAAAGTAAAAATCAAAATCAAAGGGCAACTATAAACCAGAGATATTATTGGGGGGCAGAGGGAGACTGGGTCAACATGGGTGGGAAGAGTACAAGAGACTGTGGTGATGTACATGGGTGAATTGGCAGTGGGAACTCCTTGGGGACTACACATGAGTGGATAAAGCATATGAAAATGAAGGAAGATGTAAAAAGTACATAGAATTAAAAAAAAAGAAGTGACAGAGATTAAAAAAAAAATCATGGAAAGGTGTTTCTCAACATGTAATGACCCAGCATTCATGCCTCCTCTCTCCCCGCAGAGGATCCTCCAGATCCTCTGGGCCTCTCTGCAGAGACTTAAGTCATTTCTGCGGCCATCTCCCCCATGGCTGTCCAGTGTATTAACTTGCTCCAAAGGCCACTGCAAACTGTCACACTGTTATTGTGGGTGCTAGATGGAGCTTGATTAAGACAAATGGCTGCATTTATTGAAATGAATACTAGATGAAATACTAGACAGAATACTTGTGTGTAGAAGGCCTTGCACTCTGCTAATACTTGAAAGTCACATCCTGTTTTTGGCTTTTCTGCCCATTCCCATGACATATTTTCAGACTGATTTTATTCACATTTATCTCAAGCTGCTGATGATTCTTTTTATCTTTCTATTGAAATGAAAACTGTAAGAGAATGTAGAAAGCTGAGGTTTTCGTCTGATTTTTGAGATTAAAGGATTCCAGTGCCTGAATTATAAATCTGTCTTTATTAAACTAGTTGACTAGAAAACTCCTCAACTATATATTTCCACATATTAAATATTATTTTTCATACATTGATGTACACTTATTAAAAAGCCTGAATTTTATCCTGAAACTACTACCTGTAATGATGGAAGAACATTTTCCTAGACTGTTTCTTTCAATAGGAAAGCGCCATCTGCTGGCTGATTTGGCGAAATACAATAGTCCTCTGTTTAGCCACCGAAATGATTTTTTTAATTGCACTCTACTTTTTAGTTTTCTTAGAAGTATAGATACAGGTGGAGTGCCAAGTAATATTTTTGTCCTAAAAATCATAGAACAAAATCCTAACTATTTAAATTACCAAGATCACCGTGAGGAAATCATCTTGCCAGTCATTATGAAATACTGGTCCCTGCAGTGATCACCCATGTCTGTTTGTTGTATATCCTTTATAAGCTCAATTTGTTGTTCTTTTCCACCACAGGGAGCTTCCATTCTGAGAATGCTTGAAGACTGGATAACACCACAGAACTTCCAAAAAGGATGTCAAGTATGTTTCAACACTCTTAGTGATGTTGAAAGGATACCCCCCTTTTAATATTTCCTTTTAATTACCCTACTGTGTGACTGCTGTGTGAGTGCAAGACATGGGATTGGCTGAGGGCGGTTCCTTTTTTACCTTTCCTTCCCTGACTCGGGGATAGATAGTTCAGCATAACATACCAGCTGGTTTCATGTCCAGCTAAGTACCTACACTATCCATAATTACCGTGTGTGTGTGTGTGTGTGTGTGTGTGTGTAGAAGAACTGGGGTGTACACCAGAGGTGTGGGGGTGAGAGGATTCACCAGAGACAGATTGGGGAGCAGAACATGTGGATTGACTGAAACACACTGGTGAGGGGAGCAGCAGAGAGAGAAGAGAGGTCTTTTGCGCCCTTGGGTTCACTCTCCGCCCGGGGATAGAACTTGTGCTGCATTGGTGATAGTGCTGAGACTTAACGCCTAGGCCACCAGGGAGGCTCTGTGATTACCATTTAGGTGAAGTGTCGTAGGCAGATTTCAACAGACAACTTAGGATCCTGATCCCCCTCTCCATCTCTGAGTGAGTGAGCAGCTGTGACAAAATACACAACAAAACTATTTTCTCACAGCTCTGGGGATTGAAAAGCCTAAGACCAGAGTAGTAGCAGCTCCATTTTGGGGTGAGAGCTCTGTGTTCCTGGCTGCACATCTCGGCTTCCCTGCCTGCCTGTCTTCACTGCATCCAAACCTAGTTGCTGGGAATTCTCGAACTACATAGAAAGGAGAAACGAAACCCAGAGATTCACTCCAGCATTAGGATGCAGTGCATGAATGTGTCAGGAACGTCAGTCCATAGCGACAGGGAAGGAGAATGTAAGTTGATCTCTAATGATCTTCCTTTATCATCTGTAAAGGACTTTTTTATCACTAGATCTGAAGATGGTTCACACCAGCATTACCACTGTGATAAAGAAAATGAATAAAAAGCATCCACTTCCTTTTGGAAGCAGAAAGACCATCAACTTTCCCAGGCATGCCACACAGCCACTTTAGCTTGAAGCTCCAGGGGCAATTTCAGTCTGCTCAATTTTATATGTGTCTTTCTGGAAGACCTTCAGCGAGTCGTGGTTTATGGAACTGCCCACAACAACCTCAAAGAGGAAACGTCTCCTTGCATTTTCCCTACTGTTACCTCAGGGAGCAGGGGTTAGATGAAGTGTATTGGGGGTGTCCCGCCCATACATGGAAGGGGGCAGTGCTTCCAAAGAGTATGTGTTGTGCATGACCAAGAGCAGTGCCTGTAACCCTCTCGTCCCTTACTCCTAGAAGGTGAAGTCGAGCGGTCTCTGTGCTAACAACTGAGATTCCTGGGTGACTGTTCAAGTGCTCTCACTGGGATTCACCACAGCCCCGTGTGGTGAACGCCCTGTAACTTTTGCGGCAGCTTCAACTCATATCTCATACCCACCTCCCCGAAAGCGCCTTGAGTGAGGAACTGTCTCCACGTCTTCACATTTGCCAGTGCCTGACTGTGTCACTTGTATTAGGCCATCCAAAAAATGCTTTCATCTTCGTGTTACTTTTTTAAGTTTCATTATCTTTTCATTGGGGTCACTTAGGTTTAGGACACTGTAGTCCTCCCCTTCCCATCCTCCCCTCTGGTCGCCTCAATCCTGCATTCAGATGTCTTCTTTATTTTTGTTTCTTTATACTCCACTTGTGAGTTGCATCACCTGGTGTTTGTCTTTCTCCTCCTGAATTATTTCACTGAGCATAGCCTTCTCCATCCCTGCTGTCACAAGTGCCAAGAGATTTTTTTTTAAATGCCTGAGTAGTATTCTGTTGAGCATATACCACATTTTCTTATTCCACCTACCTGTTGTTGGCACCTGAGTTGTTTCCAGAATTTGCTTTTCACGAGTCCTGCAAGTTAGTGGTTACGGCTGGGTCATGTGGGAGGTCTGCTTTGTAAGGTTTTGAGAATACTCCAGATTGTCTCCACAGGGGCTGGACCCTTCCAGATCTGTATCAGTGCCGAAAGTTATTCCTTTTTCTCCATCCTTGCCAACTTTGGTTGTTTCTGCTCTTTTTGCTTTGCCCATTCTCAGGAGAATGAGGTGATTATTGTTGAGTTGCATTTCACTGGTGATAAATAATGTTGACTGTTTCCAAAATACACTTCTTAATTGAATGGGTGAGTGGTTTATAAATAAAAAGTGAAGAAGTAAACAAGATCATTGATGCTACTAGTAATAGTAGTGATACTAGTAATGCTGATAGTGCTAGTAATACTAATGATGCTACTAGTAATAGCAAGTGAATTACTAGCGATACTAGTAATGTTGGTGATACTAGTATTACTAGCAATAGTAGTGATACTAGTAATGCTAACAATACTAGTGGTATTAATAATACTAGTAATTCAAGTAATAGAAACAGTGCTCCTTTCCTTCTGTGTTTCCAAATACTAAGTGAAGGAAATGATTGTAGAGGACCTAGATGATCGTGAAATTTTGACCAGAATGACTATGTCGTGCTTATTCAAGGTGAAGAAAGAAATTTCTTCATATGGAATATTCAGAAGCACTAATCTAGACAAAGCACAAAAATTAGTATTGTCCAGTCTACTACTTGTGTAAATGTTCTTTTAACCTCTAGTTTAGGGAAACAAATTGTAATGTAAAACAAACAAAAAAAAAAACCAAAGCAACAGGGACAAAATCTCACAAGCTGGTCTGGGATTCAGAATTATCTTCCTGGAAAATCTCATCACCTCTTGGCATCCGTTTCCTTCACCACCGTCCAGATATGAGAGTTGCTTAAATAATATCAAGATCCCTTCCAGTTCCAAGATTGCCATTTCTTAGCTCAAGCTTAATAAGCTCCAAATTAAGTTTAAGAAGGTAGTAATCACTAGAAATTGCCAGTAACAGGTAGCTATGGTTATAATCATTACTATTCCAAGTAGTCAATTATTTAATTAAGGCAAAATGGTTGAGTGTGCAAAACCATCATCTAGGCAAAGTCGTCGGTTCCTCTCCCTGCCCACGCCTGCCCTCTAGTGGCCATGATGAGTAGTTACCCAGGCGAAGCCGCAGAGTGAAGCCCGCATTCCAAAGGGAAGAAGACCTTCTCCTGGCTGTGGGCTCATTGCTGCTAAAATGGCCTATCTTTGCCTGAAAAGAAGAGAAATTAAGAAAATAATGTGACTTAGGTGTAGTATCCACTGAAAACTTTGGCAATTTGGGTTGAAAGGATGTCTGCAAAGTGGTTATTTGAGGACTCAAAAAGCATTTAGGAAGGTTTTCTCTCTGTGAAAGACAACCATATCACTATTTGCAGATGACGTGATAATGAACATAGAAAACCCTGAAGACTCCAGGGGAAAGCTGTTGGAAATAATAAAGTAGTACAAGTAGCAAGTTTGCAGACTACAGAATTAGTATACAAAAATCTGTGGTGTTTTGTATACACAGAATGAATTAACACAAAGAAATCAGGAAAACAGTCACATGAAAGGAATAAAATGTTCTGGGATGAACTTAGCCAAATAGAGAAATATCTGCATACCGAAAACTACGACATTCTTGAAAGAAATAGGGGAATTAACATCAGTAAAATGACCATATTACTGAAAGCAATGTACAGATTCAGTGCAACTGCTATCAATATCGCCATGGTGGTCTCCATAGAAGTAGAAGCTTAAGATCATGAAATCTATTCAGAATTTTAAAATATCCAGCAGAGGAAAAGCACTTTTGAGATAAAAAGAACAAAAATGGTATCAATCTACTCAACTTAAAGCTATCCTACAGAGCAATTAAAAAAAAAAAAAAACCTGGTGCTGAAATAAAAAGAAACATACTGATAAATCGAACAGAATTGAGAAACAAAATCACACACATATGGACAGCTACCTCATGATAGAGGACCCAAGAGTTTATAATGGAACAAGGAAAGTCTTTAATAAGTAGTAGACAGTAGCATACAAGAGAATAAAACTAGACCACTACCTCACATCATACTACACAAAAAGTAATTTAGAAAAGGCCTGAAGCCATAAAATCCATTGAAGAAAATGTAGGAGATTGCACTCCTTGATAACAGCCTCATACATATTTGGGGGCTTGACTTCAACAGTAGGGAAACAAAAGCAAAAACAAACAAATTTGCATTAATACTAAAAGACATCATATCATAGGCTCCACCAGGGAAGAATATCCAACACATACAAAGAATTCATAAAGTTAAAAATAGGAAGAATAATACAAACAGCCCAATTAAAAAATAGGCAGAAGATCTGAATAAACAGACAGTTTTCCAAAGAAGACATTCAGATGGCAAAGGAAACATCTCTTTACTTCTCTTTATGAGGGAAATGCATATCAAAGAGCAATGAGGTATTGCTCACCTACAAGAGGCTATATGCAAAAGATAAGAAACAAGTGGGGCTTCCTTCATGTTGCAGGGAGTTAAGGCTCAGCACTGTGAAGCTATCTGCAGCCTGAGTTTAACTCCCAGCCAGGGAGCTGACCTACATGGCACAGCAGACCTCTACTGTCTCCCCGCTGCTCCCCTCAGCAGTGTATTTCAGTCTATCCTCCTGTTCTGCTCCCCACTCTGTCTCTGGTGAATCACCCCCTCACATCTGGCCTAAATCCCAGTTCTTGCATGCATTAATAAAATTAATCTTAAAAAAGAAAAGGGACCCACAAGTATTGGAGAGGATGTTAATGAGATTATAAATCCAGACATTATGGGAAAGAGTGTGGAAATGCCTCAAAAAAATGAATCATGTAAATTCCATATAATTTATTATTAATCTGTTATTCCACTTCTGAATATTGACCCAAAAACATGGAAACACTAATTTGCAGATACATATGCACCCCCATGTACACTGCAGCATAACTTATAGCAGACCTAAACTGGAAGCAACTTAAATGCCCACTGAGTGGTGCAGTACTTTTTTAGCTTATAAAGTGACATACAGTGTATGTTTGCTTGTCATTCTGTGTCAGTTTGCTGTACCAGGCATCAGTGAAAGGTAACGAGGGCCTCTACATCTATGGTGGAAAGCTAATCTGGGAAAGCTAAGCTCTGAATTTAAAATACTTGTTATTTTTTGCATGCAGAATTACTTGAAAAAATACCAGTTTAAGAATGCAAAAACCTCAGACTTTTGGGACGCACTTGCAGAGGTAAGGAAGGATCTGTTATCAAGTATTTCTTTGATGGACCAATGTGGTCAACAGTTTGCCAATTATTTCTTTATCTGAGGCTTCTGTCATTTTATTTCTCATGTGTATTAATTACTCTCCTTGTCTTTTCAATCTCAGGCCAGTGGTAAGCCAGTGAAGGAGGTCATGGACACCTGGACCAGGCAGATGGGCTACCCCGTGCTCAATGTGGAGGCCGCGCGGACTGTCAAGCAGAAGCGATTTCTTTTGGACGCCAGAGCTAATGCTTCCCTGCCCCCTTCAGATCTGGGGTAAGGATCTAGAATGCTATTCGGGAGAAAAGCAGAGTTCACGGACATCCTGATTACTTCTGCTTTTGGAGCTATATTTGAGGGATGAAAGTATGAAATCATAGTGTCTTTGGGGAGAAGCTATTGAAAAATAGCTGAGTGGTTTTAAAGAAAATTAGTCTAAACATTGGAGTAAAGTAACACCTGGATAAAGAGAGGAGTTTAAAGAGATGACACTAAGTGGTCGCAGGCGGGTAGCTTAAAACTGGCCCTGGAGTGAATGAGCAGACAGTAGCAAGTCGCTGGTCAGCCCAGAGAGCCGCTTGGCAGCCCCCACAATATCCCACATAGTTAAGGGATCAGTTAAGTTGTAGTGGTATCAAGAAGTATGAGACAAGAAAGGTATCAAGAAGTATGAAACAAGAAATGACTGCGTGCATTTTCAAAAGAGCAACTGTTACCAATACAAAGTAAAAAAATAATCATTTTGTTTTTTAAAAAAATTGATTTATTTATGCATACAAGAACTGGGGTACAGATCAGAGATGTGATGGAGGGGGATGAAAATTCACTAGAGACAGAGTGGGGAGGAAAAGAGGCAGATGGATGGAATACACTGCTGAGGGGAGCAGTGGGCAGGTCAGGAGAGGTCTGCTGTGCCATTTGTGTCAACTCCCTGGCCGGGGATCGAACTCCTGCGGCAGTGGTTGTAGACAGCTTCATAGTGCTGCGTCTTAACCCCTTGTACCATCAGGGAGTCCTCCCCTTCCCCAAAATAGTCATTTTGTTTTACTAAATGTTGGTTGTTGAAGGAGGAATGTAAGAGAGCAGGATAAGTAAGCTCATATGTCTCTCTCATAGGTGTCTCTCTCATTAAAAATGGGGCAGGGGCAGGGGGGATTTAGAGTCACAGCTTTAAAATCAGAAGAGCTAGGGCCGAGGCATGAGCCTGGGGGAGCCTCGAAAACGCCAACGGGGTTCACCTCGGTGAGGAAGGCAGCCAGGATCCTCAGTCCCCACAGTAAGTGAAATTGGAAGAAACTGTCTATCTTTCTATACTGCAAGTGCTGAGAATTAATAGTGCAGAACAGAAAAATTTGAGTTCCCAGGGCAGATAAAGACATACAGATAAAAACAACATCATTCCCTTGTTTATTCTTATCTTTATTTTGCCTGGAGAAACAGGTTTGCAATACTCTCTTGAGTGAATTGGAACTTAGGCCTGACTTGCTCTCAGGTGATAGTTATGTGCATATCAAAAATCCTAAGTTTCTGTGATAGTTCTGTAACTGGAAACCCTGCCTTTTAGGGTTACTTTTTATGTTCTAGCAAGTTAAATTGGTCAAATGTAATTCTGCTTTTTAATAGACAAAGTGTGTGTGTATATGTGTGTGTGTGTATATATATATATATAATTTTTTTACAGGAAACTTTGAGAAAATCTCTGGGGAAGTTTCATAACAATTGTTCTTGTTTGCAACAGTATCCACTAATTTAAGTCCAAGACACAGCAACACTGAATTTAAATGTGTGGGATTAGATTTCTTCCAACTATTCCTAGGCTATGAATTCCTGTCCACTTAAATAAAAAGTTTTATTACTGAGTAAACTCAGTATGTTAGCAGGTCCAAGTCGTTTTTTAATTAGCATAAATGGTTAAATTTTTTTCAAGAAATATGGTTTGTATTTTACTGAGATTTATGAGTGCATGATTTATTATCAAACCATTTATCATAAAACCAATTTACTTACCCTATTTTCGAGATTTTATAAATAAACCTAAATGTATTCTCTGTTGAGAACATTTTTTTTTTTTTAAGTTTATGCAATTTTTTTTTTTTATTAAAAAGTTTATTTTTACATCATTTTTCACATTTTTTTTTTCATCTCAATTGTAATACCCATGGGTTTCCCATCACCAAATCACCCCTGTGCCACCACCATAGTCCCGTGCATTTCCCTTCCCCCAACTGTTTTTGATCCCATTCCCCACTCCACCCCCACAGAATGTCTCTGGTCTATGGTTGTTCATTATTTTTGTTATTTTCTCGCCTGGTCCATTATACTCCTGCTATGAGTGAAACCATCCGGTATTTTTCTTTCTCTTTCTGGCTTATCTCACTCAGCATGATCTTTTCCAGCTCCATCCAAGTTGCTGCAAAAGACATGTGTTTCTCTTTTTTGGTTGCTGAGTAATATTCCATTGTATATATGTACCACATCTTTCTAATCCAGTCATCTACTTTTGGGCATTTGGGCTGCTTCCATGTTTTTCCAATTGTAAATAAAGCAGCAATAAACATGGGGGTACAAGTATCTTTTTCAATCAGTGTTTTTGTGTCTTTTGGGTAGATACCTAGGAGTGGGATTGCTGGGTCATAGGGAAGCTCCATGTTTAGCAGTTTGAGGAACCTCCAAACAGTTTTCCATAGTGGTTGTACTAGTTTGCATTCCCACCAGCAATGCAGGAGAGTTCCTTTTTCTCCACATCCTCGCCAACATTTGTTGTTGCTAGTTGTTTGAAGATGTGCCATTCTCACTGGGGTGAGGTGGTATCTCATTGTGGTTTTAATTTGCATCTCCCTTATTACGAGTGATGTTGAACATTTTTTCATATGCCTGTTGGCCATCTGCATTTCCTCTTTGGAGAAGTGTCTTTTTAGCTCTACTGCCCATTTTTTGATGGGGTTGTTTACTTCAATTTTGTTGAGTTTCATCAGTTCTGTTGAGAACATTTTTAAAAATCAGTAGTTGCGACACTTGAAAGAATAAATAGCTGTTTAAAAAAGCAGCAGTAATTCCAGAAAAAATAAAGAGATAAAAACATTTTTTAAATGATAAGATATTTTTTAATTATTTTATCTTTTACTTTTCCTTTGTTTTTATTTTTCACCTCAAACCGAGCATTTTATTAAATTAGGTAATGACATCTGCCTTTCTGTCCCCAGGAAGGAAGCTGTTCACTCTTCCTCTGCCTTCCACATGCCCTACTCAGATGTGGTTCTGTCCCACAGACCTGGGGTCAGTTGAAGTGTCCCCAAAGCTAAGCAGCATCCTCCTTTTTCTCACTGTGTCAGTATTCCAGGGTAGGAAATTCTTACCTGCCAGAAATGCATCCAAATGGCTCCCAGGGATGTAAGTGGCGGGAACACCAGGGACTCCCCGGCCTCTAAGGATTGGCCCGTTCACCTCTCCCGCAGGGGTTTCCTCTGTTGGCTGAGTTTACAGGCCTTTGCCAGTCACTTGCCTGGAGGTTCTTCCTTAGTAATACCCTGGTGTGCACCATTCTAAATAGGCCGTAGAGACATAGGGACGGTAGTGGGAGATTTCAACATAACTTCTGAGGTGTGTAGTGCGCGTCACAACAGATGAAGGTTGCCATCTGAATTCTAAGGATGCTGTGTGCACAGCTTCAGTGTTGCTGTAGAATGTTATTTTTACCTAAGATCTTTATTCCAAAGCCTCAAGGCATTTTTAAAAATTTTTATTTCAAAGGTTTTTATTTATGCACATAAGAGCTGGGGTGTAGCCCAGAGCTGTGGGGAGGTGAGAGGATTCACCAGACAGAGTGGGGAACAGAACAGGAAGATCTACTGACATACACTGCTGAGGGGAGCAGCAGGGAGACTGGAGAGATCTGCTGAGCCATGTGGGTCACTCTCTGGTTGAGGATCGAATTCGGGCCGCAGTAAATGACTATAGCTTGATAGCACTGAAATTTTAACCTCTGTGCTACCAAAGCAATTTATTGAAGGAATCCTTGTCCTTTGCTAATTTTTTCAAAGAAAGTTCCACTTTATAGAGCTATGTAGAAATGGAGAGCAATTATGTGTGTTAACGTTATTCATTGTACAGCATGGACTGGATGAGGCAAAAGTACTTGTCTGTTGCTTTTAAATTATTTTTTCCTTTGAAAATGTTTCTATCTTTAGGTAATAAAAGTTGAAGTTCTCTTTTTTTTGTTTTGTTTTGTTTTTGTTTTTGTTTTTTTAAAGATTTATTTATTTGTACATACAGAACTGGGGTACAGGCGAGAGGCTCAGGGGCGGTGAGAGGCTTCACCAGAGACAGAG